CTCTTTTTTACGTCTCCAAAATCACGGGATTATCGAGAAAATTTTATTTTTAATTACAAACACTTTGTAATTCCTATAGTTCCTTTAAGTACCTTATATGCCTGATGCAGATCATTTTATTTCTAAATCTTCCTAAATGCATTCACATTGGTATTCGAGCAATGATCAAACTTATACAAACTTATGAAAATTGCATGGTCTGTGGCGACTACTGCAATATTGTCCGATAGATATGCTTCAATATTACGTGCACTGTAATCTATGGCTGTTACCGAACAACCCAAATTTCGAGTGTGTATTTAAACATGGCTGCATGAAAACTGCTAGTTGTTCCTTTCGTTTATGCATTGCTTGAGTTACATTATACAAAGGCAAACACATTTTCGTTTGATTTAAGCCATTGGGAGGTCATAGGAGTAGGATATTTCGTGAGCTCACGTGCGAACATGCCGGTCACGGACGAGTAAGTGTAAATGGAATTGTCAGGTGCAGTTGTAAGCGTACCATTTTTTGCAAACTAAGAGAAGTCTCCTTCCGCCACATTCCTATGTAATTATTTTAGGATTTCGATTACGAAGAAGTTCAGATCTTCCTTGAAGTGGTAATCAAGACTTTAAGATTTTCATTGGCTCCAGTAGATTGACCATAAAAAATTATCATATTCTACGTGCTCACCAAAACTTTCAAAATAAAATATTTCTTAAAAGCATCTACCCAAATAACGAGCTTTTAAACATTATTTATTACGTCTGTATGGGTCATGGTTTCAGAATCATCCAAACATATCAACTCAATGCCGAAAAAATGAACGTCCACTGTAAACGTCGCGAATGAATAGGCCTAAGATTGATAAAGACTTCTATAACAAGTTACCTCTTGAAAAAAGCGCTTTAATTATGTATTTTGGCGTTGAGTCTCTGCACTTTCATGTTGCGAAGACTTAGTCAACACACGAATGGGAAATTTTGACCAGTCTTTTGACTTCTCCAAAAATTAGAGATATATCTTCAGGTGTAGATGAAAAAGCTGACTTTTTTATGTAACCCGGAGCAGTTTTCAGTACATTTGTTTAATTCTAGGCTCAGTTCTAAGATAACAAAAGAGCAGAGCAGAATGTCAGAATATCAACGACGATTTTGAGAAAACTAATAATCTTCTGCCCGTTCCGTTTCAGTTTTTTTCTACTCATTAATTCCGCTGTATAGATGAAAAATGTTCAGACATATTTTGCATATGGTTTGACAGAGAAAATTGACGGCATGAGTTGGGTTTTTGTATATATGCTTGTCTGCGGTCGTTACTTTGGTGGGGTATAGCAAATAACAGCCTTATAAGATTATTGTTTAATTTTATGGCACAAAACTCGGCAGATATGTAAAATAGAATTTTTTTAAATAACTTCGCTCTTCTTTTCCCCAAAATAATGCGATATCTCATAAATACACTAACCTCGATTTCATGTAGGTTAAACAAAATTGTCTGTTCTCTGAACACATATGAAACGAAAAAGGTTCCGCTTTTTATTAATGTTCCCTTATAGTATAATAGCGCGTTTAATAGCGCAGCAAATTCCTTGGATATCTCCAAATGCTAGATATGGCCCTGTTTTGCCCCCAGCACGCTGAGCTGAACCGAACTCTTTGCTAGTAAACAGCATTCTGAACCTCAAGTAAACTCAATGAACAAAATAAACAACCTCAAATGTTTGTTAAATCACCCACTCAAATTTTGATCTTCACAGTTCATCAGATATACAATCTACTGTAATTATGTTGAAAGAACACACAACGAAAAATTGTTCTATTACATTCATGGAAAAGGTTAACTAAACACTTTCTTCAAAATCCAGGGTACGGCATAGGGTTTTACGTGATTCCAAACTCGTTCAACTCCTTTCCCGAATCGTCTGAGACCTGGTTCAATGCGACGGAAGCCTTCACGTATCCTGTCACCTAGATTCCTGAACCATCTTCCTATGTTGACAGGCTGTAAAGCCATTTCATCCTCCTCGTTTATCTCCGTAGGCGCCTCGGTGTCCGAAAGAGCAGCTTCCAGCAGTTCATCCTCAAGTGTTTGCGTCTCCTTAAAATCTTCCTTGCGATAGCTGCTAGACAAGAGTACCGCAGAGGCGAGAACCAGGATGGAAATTAATGCTGCTCTGAAGGCCATCCTTGTCTGAGTGCAAGACTGTCGCCTGCA